AGAGAGAGAGAGAGAGAGAGAGAGAGAGAGAGAGAGAGAGGGGGGAGGGGGGTGCTCAGGCTTTATTTGCATGTGACAAACAGAGGGGAGAGAAAAGATGCAAGCAGCCGAGCATTATTTCAGTGTTTGCCTGTCATCCCAAATCTCCATGGAGATGTGGTCTGTGTGTGCCATACACACCTGTGGTACATCATCATGGAGGCAGGARGCACATCTGCGGCTGCTCTCCCAGCCACCCTGAGCTGCAGGCATAACGTGGGGTCTGCTGGATGAGCTATAAATAGCCATACAGTGGTTAACGCAGCGGCGGTGCTGCCCAGCTGAATGCACTTCAGCTGATTTATTGAAAAATAAACAAAGAAACGACATCAGCTAATCTTTAACACTAGGGGAGGGAAATGGGTTTTATTTGAATTTCTGCATTGAAACACATGCCTTCATGGTATAACAGCRCAAATTCTCTCACACGTCTGACAGTTTTGGTCTTATTTAATCACTGTTAGCTACACAATCCCTAATGGGAGGAATCATTTGTGTGCTCGTCGGGTAACAAAAGGCCGGGGAACAAAAGGAGCTTAAAAAAGGTAAATTATCTAAATAATAATCCTCATTGTTGGTTTGCAGCTTATTCATAGTGCATAAACATCATTAAARAGACAATTCAGACCATCTGAAGCAGGGCTCTGTAACAATATCTTACATTGTGTAGCTCTTTGAATGTAAGTAAGTCCATTTTATTTCTGGATCACCTTTTATAGATGTACCGAAAAGTGTCTCACAAAAAAWATATAAAAAATTGTGCTCATGTGAATAAGTATACACAAGAAACTATCAAAAAACTCTAAAAGTCAGTTTAAAAAAGAATGTTTTTTTACTGCATCAGTTTTTTTTCTAAGCTGTGTATAGGAGCAGTGTTTTCCAAAGCTGAGATTCAACTGTTCAGAGTGACCGATCCCCACAGGATTTCAACAGAGTGTAAGACACGACAACCTCTGGCCTGATGACCTTTAACCTGCGAGGTGCTGCATAAAGCTGGATCAGGTCAGAGAAATAAGATTAGACTTTTTAAACGAATTTTACAATGATCTGAGAGCCAGTGAAGAGACGCTAAAACCGGTGTGATGTGAGCTCGTTTGTTTATGCAGTTTAATAATCTGGACAAGCTGAAGCCGGTCCAGCTTCTCCTGGTTTAAAACCACAAATAAACTAAATTTAGCTCAAAACCTATGGAAATTTGTGGTTGGTAGATTGTTTTTTATCGTAACAATGCTTCTTGGCAATAAATCTTATACCGTTGGAAAGCCTGTTAATTTCCCTTTTAATTGGTGCCACATTTGTAAGGAACATGCATTTGTGGGATGAGCAGTAAAGCTGAGTATGTGGGTTGGAAACATGAAAAATGTATTAAATATTCTCTGTCAAACATTGTTACTATTGACTTTATTTTGAGCTTCTGGTGCCATCAGATGCTGTGAATCAGGTGCCCTGTATAAGATTTATTGCCAAGAAGCACTGAGTTAAATAAATAATCAACCAAACACAAATTTCTGTACGTTTTGTGCTAAGTTACAAGCATGGTTGATCATCTTAAGGATAGTATTTTACAAGAAATTTCTCCATTAAGAGATGTTTGTGTGACAGAAGTGACAGTTTCTTTTGCATTGTTTTGACGACATCGCAAAATCAAAAAAGACTTCCAAGATTCTGAGGCTGGACTGAACAGAGGGATGAAAAAGACCAAATAACTGTTTAAGGTGGGAAATCTTATTTTTACTGGGAATGAACTCTGTTAGATTTTCTGCCAATCCCCAAAATTTCACAACAACTTTACGTGAAGGCTGCGTTATATACTTTTTCAAGTCAGTTTTGAATGACATATAAAATATTTATTTAAATAAAAATCTATGAGAAGTGTCCCAGTTGCACCTAAAGCTACAGCTAGCTGCTTTCGTTAAACATGTTTGCAAGTAATCATAAAATTCAATGTATAAAATTGCCTAATGAGGAACTGATGTCATGTCAACAAAGGGTTTTTAAAAGAGCTCAATCAATCAAAGCGCTGCCTACAACAGGTTAAGATAATAACTACTCACAAACGTTCCACAGAACACCACTTCAAAGGATCTGAACTGTTGTTTGTAAGAGTTTAATGAGCCACATTATTGTCCTGTGCTACATACGTCAACTGTGTTTATACACAAAAACAAACAATAGCTTCGGTGCAGAAACAGTCTGYAGACAACAACATAAATTCCCTTTAGTTTTTCACACATAAGGCCACTATGGTAGGACAGGAGGAAAATATTATGTCATAAATTAACAAGAATTCTGCTTCTCCTGGGATTTTTTTTACAGGTTCATGTTAAGCGAGAGCAATAAGAAACAAAAATAAATKACATTACTGCAGACATTTAAACATCATTATTCACAAAGTGGAACTGATGGCTTYGTGGTGGATTTATTTTTACCAACATGTACTAAAAAATAATCTGATAAAATCTGCATTTTAGTCCAGAATCAACCATTAATGATGCATCAGCTGTTCACAACTGATCTAATAACCTGACAATACTACACAACTGCTTTATGTTAAACTCTCCTATTTAAGCRTTTACAAGGTTTTGGTTGAGCAACATTCAGTTTATCAAAAACTAAAAGGCACAGAAAATCTGAACTTTRCCCAACAACATCTATGGATTTTATTCTTAGTGATGATGTGTCGTAGTTACAAAAAACTGCTTACTAACACATTTAAACAAAATTGGGATTATTATTGGGTTCCTTGTTCAGACCCAGATTATGTGCATCATCAGGCCATCATWTCACATTAACTGTCATCAGACTCTGATCCTTTTAAAATCAACATATGTATTTTCAAATCTGCCTGTTCTTAAAATATGGACAGATAGAATCAAAGTTCATGTGGCTGAGTTTTTAAATAAAAGGTTTTATCTTTAGCTTTTGTCAAATATGTGTTTATTAATGTGCAATAATTAAGTTATACTGGCTTCTCAGTTTGCAGCTTGGAATAAATAAAACACCTTTAATTCAAAGTAAGATAATATTTTCCAACTTTAAAAGAAAATTGTAAGTATTCATGGTGGAGCTCATTGAACACAACAAACTGATAACTGAGAAAAATGTCTTTTGTGTCCACTGAATGTCAAACATATGAGTGTCCACCAGATTTTTACGACTACATTATAGAATGATGGATCATGGATCATGCATACATGCAAAATGTAAATGAGTATCWGCTGCAGAACTTCATGTTCCACGGGTTTAAAAAAACAAACAAGAAGAGCAATAATTCATCCTGAATCACAAGAATTCTGCAGTCCATTGTTAAACTCCACAGCAGACTTTAAATCTTTTCCTCTTTCAGAAGCAAATCTTCGTCATCGTCAGGTCAGAGTGGTGACCTCTGGCTGAGAAAAGTTTCCAGAGGTGCTGGGGATGTCTTTACAGCTCTCTGCAGGGAAACACAAAAAGGTTCAGGCATGAACAGCTGCCACCTTTAACGTCACCAATGACGAGAGTCTAAACAAACAAAAACAACAAAGAAATCTGATTCGTCTTTGACATGCTGCATGTTCTCTGACATGTAAAACAACAAAGAAATCTGATTCGTCTTTGACATGCTGCATGTTCTCTCTGTT